AAAGCAACAAAAAATACAAAACAAATGTCTCTAGTTATTCTGCAGATGTTGTTGTGTGTCAGATGCCCTCCCAGATCTTGATGACTTATAGAAATTATCAGAGAAAACTTTTGGGGATTTTTTATGGAAGTTTTGAAAAAATAAATGGATTACGTGGCGGTATTTTCCTGTTTTCACATTTTGAGCTATATTCCCCCCTTTTTTTTTTTGCTTTTCCTGTAATTACACTCCCAGAAACTAAACCAGGTCTAAACCAGGACTAAACCATGACAAAAAACAGGTCTAAACTAGATCTAAACCAGGTCTAAAATCAGGTCTAAACCAGGACTAAACCAGGTCTAAACCAGGACTAAAACCAGGTCTAAACTAGATCTAAACCAGGACTAAACCAGAACTAAACCAGGACTAAAACCAGTCTAAAAAAGATCTAAAGTAGATCTAAACCAGGTCTAAACCAGGTCTAAAATCAGGTTTAGACCAGGACTAAACCAGGACTTAAACCAGGACTAAACCAGGTCTAAAATCAGGTCTAAACCAGGACTAAACCAGATCTAAACCAGGTCTAAAACAGGTCTACAATCAGGTCTAAACCAGGACTAAAACCAGGTCTAAACTAGATCTAAACCAGGACTAAACCAGAACTAAACCAGGACTATAACCAGCCTAAAAAAGATCTAAACTAGATCGAAAACCAGGTCTAAAATCAGGTTTAGACCAGGACTAAACCAGGACTAAAACCAGGTCTAAACCAGGACTAAAACAGGTCTAAAATCAGGTCTAAACCAGGACTAAAACCAGGTCTAAACTAGATCTAAACCAGAACTAAACCAGGACTATAACCAGTCTAAAAAAGATCTAAACCAGGACTAAAACCAGGACTAAAACCAGGTCTAAAACAGGTCTAAAATTAGGTCTAAAATCAGGTCTAAACCAGGTCTAAAACCAGGTCTAAACCAGGACTAAACCAGAACTAAACCAGAACTATAACCAGTCTAAAAATAGATCTAAACTAGATCTAAACCAGGTCTAAAATCAAGTTTAGACCAGGACTAAACCAGGACTAAACCAGGATTTAACAGGACTAAATCCATGCTGCGCGGACGTGTCTCCTCTTCTTCTATCAATATTATTTTTAATCTGGTTAAGTAAAGTCTGGGCTTTTTATTTTCTTTTAGCAGATAAAACATCTCGTGAAGATTTCCTCGTCTTTGCTTCTCTACAGCAAACCAAGTAATCCAAAGTATTCAGATTACATTACTCACTTTAAGTAACCTAATGGATTCCGTTACAAACTACATTCTGGGGTATGTAATCTGTAATCTGTAGGGGAATTACATTTTTAAAGTAACCTTCCCAACACTGTGAACAGGACAGATCTGCTCACCTGTTGCAGTTCCAACTAAATCGACTCTTTCTGGTCACATTAAAACACAGATTAAAGTCTTTAAAATCTGAATAAACCACCCACTTTATTCTGATTTAAGTTTAATTACAAGTAATGATTAGGAATGAAGTGTTTACATGGTCTTTTTAAAGCGGAATTCATTTTTATTCTGAATTTAATTATTTCTTATCAAATTTTTTGGACAATTGACAGCCAACTCTCATTAACCAACACAAACAAAATATTATTAAATCTTCAAAACGACAAAAAGCTGAAATCATACAGTTTTCGTAAAATGACAACACAAATAGTAGGATTTTTATTTTTATTAACCTCCCATCTCAGTGACATCTCTTTCATACCTGAAGTAGAAAGAAACGAGAGTGAGACAGACGATTTTTATTTATTTATTTATTTTTTGATGCAGCAGAGAACAGCCGACCTAAATCCTTTCAACAAATATCAAACAGTTTACTCACTGTTCTGATATTAGATGTGACAGGCCAAACAGACACAGGTGTCTAGTATCTACAACAGTGTCTGCAAAATCTGTTAAATGAGCCTCATGTCCACCTTATATCTGACCTGTCCAGGCAGGATTCTTTACTTTTCACTTTACAAACATGCACGGATTGTTAAAAGCAGATAATGTATTCCCAGAATGAAATGCACACGTTGAAGGTTTATGTTACGTGAATATAAGTAAATATAAGCTTTGGCATGTTTAATGTTTTATACATTAAACATAAAAAAATTTGTCTTTTATGTTTAATGTATGAAATAATGCGTGTTTTTATCTTACCGCACTTACACTTATACTTATACAAGTGTTTACAAGTTTAACCCAGTCACTGTGCGTGAAAATGCGGCGTTTTCTCCTCATAGCTTCATTAAATCACTCCGTGGGCTTCTTTACCCCTAACAGTAAAAACATCATTAGTGTTTGATGGAAATCTGTCCAAATATGAAAGTTTGAGCTGACTTTTCATCACGTTAGCTGCAGATTACTAATCAAACTTTTAGCTCAAATCTCCGAGGTTCACGCAGTTAAAAATAAACTTATTTGACAGTTTGTGGGAGTTATGGCTGTATTTTACATTTACAGTTGTGTTAGTAATGATTTCCTAAAGTTAAAAGCGTGTTACTCACATGTTTTCTCCGTCTTCCAGATGGTCGTTTTGCTCTGTGTTTATATGTGCGAACAAATTCTATAACGTAAAAACAATCTTATTTAATAAACATTTAATTGCGGTCAAAATAAATCGTTTCGTCGCCCCATAGGTCTACATAAAAGTAGAGATGACGTCTTCGGTGGAGGTCACGTGTTTCCGGTCTGGAGTGGAGCTCCACTTTCCCCATGTGTCTGCAGCCAGACCCTCTTGGTTTTTTTAAGACAACTGAAGGATTTTGAGCTGAGAAAAAGTTTATGATCTAAAAATAGGTAAAAATCGCCAGCAAATCCGACATTTTTGAAAGCTGTAGGTGATCTGTCAGACGAACACGAGCAGTTTGTGATTACATTGCCTCTATGAGAAAAATCTTGTCTCGGCCCATGGGATTTTTTCTGCTGAAGTTCCAGTGAGAGACACGACGTCAACTGGAGGCAGCTACAAGCAACAAATACTGTATCCAGTTATTTAAATAGATCCATGGTTTATACAGTGTACGATCCTATTATTAAGAAACTACAACAATGGCAACGAGAGGGTCCGAAAAACTACAGCTGCAACTACGGCAACCAAAAAGGTCAAAAATGTACAGTAGGAATGCATATTCAAAATGTTAGTGTCAGGTAAAAAGAAAATGGACATTAAATTCCAGCTTAAACCAGCAGAGGGCGCTGTCATATTATTAAAACATATAAATAATGTTATATTTACTTTGAGTTTAGTGCCTTAAAGGGCCCATATTAAGCTATTTTCTGATCTGTGCTCTGAAAATGTTCATCACAAACAGACCTGGACTTGAGTTTTGTTATAGACTTCAACTTATTTCACAGCTTTTTTTCAGTAGCAGTTTTTAGGAATTTTTTCTTCCCTTTCAAAATAAAATGACATCTTGTTTTATATTTTCTGCTTTGATGTGTGGGATTATTTTACACTTACTAACTTCTGTGCTAAAAATTGCACTTTTTCTGAGCATGACGGGTTATTTTATCTTTTGTGGATAATTGTCATAAAGCAATTAGCAAAGTAATTGTTCTATTTGCTTCTTTTCATGGTATAATTGTAAAAATGGAATAAAGATATTTTGAGATTTAAGGTGCTCTGGTCTTGTTTTTTATGGCTTATCCAACATAAATATCTTTATTACAAAAACACTGACAAAAGATTATCAAACGAATACTTATTTTATTGAGATGGGCCCTTTATTAATTTGATGCAGTGACTCACTTGGTCACTGCATCCAACAGATCAGTGTGTGGATGCAAAACAACTTTCTCCAGCTAAACTCTGACAAGACTGAAGTCATAGTGTTTGGTCCACAGAAACAAAGGGACAGTGTCAGCATCACCTCCAGTCTCTCTCTCTAAAACCTTCAAATCAGGCAAGAAATCTAGGGGTAATAATGGACTCAGACTTGAACTTTAACAGCCACATCAAATCAATAACATCTGCAGCCTTTTACCATCTAAAAAAACAGAGAAAAAATCGAAGGTTTTCTGTCTAAATCAGACTTGGAGAAACTTATCCATGCGTTTGTCTCCAGTAGGTTAGATACTGTAATGTTCTGCTCACTGGTCTCTCCAAACGAGCTGTGAGACGCTGCAGAACATCCAGAACATCCAGAACACTGCAGCTCAGGTCCTGACTCGAACTAGGAAGTACGAGCACATAAGTCCTGTGCTCAGGTCTCTGCACTGGCTTCCTGTGCCTCAGAGAATAGACTTTAAAACAGCTCTGCTTGTGTACAAGTCTCTCCATGGCCGAGCACCAAAGTCCATCTGTGACATGTTAGTGTCATATGAACATCTCACACTCTGAGGAGCTCAGGGACCAACTCCTGCTGGTGCCCAGAGTCACGACTAAACAAGGGGAGTCAGCATTTCAGGTTCATGCAGCTAAAACCTGGAACAGTCTGAACATGTGAGACAGACTCTTCTGTGACGCTGTTTAAATCCAGGCTCAAAACATTTCTGTTTAACTGTGCATATAACTGAAAAGGTTTTCATTCCGCACTCTTCTCTCCAATTTATGTCTCTCTTTTTTTAAATTTTAATCTTCATGATTATTTATGTTTTGATTTGTTTTTATTATGATTTTAATGTATTTCTTATTCTGTAAAGCACTTTGAATTACTTTGTGTACGAATTGTGCTGTACAAATAAACTTGCCTTGCCTTGCCTACTGGCCTAGTGGAGTCACCTTCTCGTCTCCATGGCGACTGACAAGTTTAATGCCATTCTGGGGGCCACACTTGCACACAGCAGTTTGTTCTAGTTTTAAAGAGGAAAAAAAAAATGTTGTAATTTAGTAAACAAAGCTCGTATATCGTTCCCTGCACTTGTCTGACTTTGCATCAGCGGCGACGTCACTGGAGCCGTGTTTTTACCCGACTGGGCTCCGGGTTTGTTGATATTGTCAAATATTGGCTTTGCTCTTCGGTTGAACGACCCTTGTCCACGGCGCCTCTTTCATTCTTTTCTCTCTCTCAGCCTATATTCTCTCCCTCCCTACTTTCTCTGTCTCTCTTCCTTCCGTCCCTCCCTAAACTAACAGTGTGTCTGGGTTTAAATACGCTCGCTCTCTTTCCTCTCCCTGCTCTCTCTTTTCCCTTTCTCTCATCTCTCTCTTTTTCTCTCCCCTCTCTTTGTCTCTCTTTCTCTCCATCTCCTCTCACCCTCTCTTTTTCTCTCTCTCCTTATCTTTTTCCTCTCTCTATCTCTCTCCTCTTTCTAACGTCATGGTCCCTCCCTGGTTTAAATATCGTGCGTTTTTTCTCCCTTTCGTCTCTGAGCTGAAATGAGGAGCCAGTAGCCAATCACAATCACACCTCCGGATTTTTTTGGGATTTTTGAATTTCACCGACACGAACGGACCACGATGTTAGGTAAGTTTTCATCGTAAATTAAATTGCAAGTTCGGCTGCTGCTTCTTTCACAACAAAAGTCATTTCTCTGTGTGTTTAATCTATTTCACCATGAGTTTTCTATTTTTAAAGACAAACTGAATTGGCCTTTACGCTGTTTTCTGATCAATGGTCTCATGTTGTTTCCTCATCACGCTCTCTTTCACTGACAGAATTTCAAAACCTTTCCGTGACCTAAAGTGAATTTTCCATGACTTTACGGCACTTACATGTATAGAATTGATCAGACTTTCTACTTTTAGGGCTAAAAATGAAATGTTAACTCTTTCCGCTCACCTCACGGTTTGGGATTATAGTTGTTTAACGTTCAAAATCGTGTCAGTGCATGTTTTTTGTTGCATCTTCTCCTGATGACTGCAAGGAAAATGATCACGATCTGCTGGCTGAAACCTGAAACACCGACCATTGATCAGTGCATATCAAAAATCAGACAAGTTTATACAGCTCAGGGTGCCAACTTTTAAAACGAGGTGGGGTCCAGTGATTGACTTTTTCAAATAAGACACTTAAGCCCTAATATGCCTCAGTTTTTATTAATTTTTGGTAAAACTTTATAATAACTACACCTTATTTAGCCTTAATAAAGCAGGAACAAAGACTTAATTAATAATGAAGAAAGACTTAATTAATAATGATTCACGCTTAGTAACTACTTAATTACTACCTGAATTAGCACTTGCACTTAATTTTCCTGTGCTGTAAATAGTTATTCATAATTATTTCATACTTAATTACTCATGAATTAACCATTTGAGCATTTATTAATCATTAGTAAACTATGAGAGAATGATTTAGTAATAATGAAATGCAATGATAATTCAGGCAGCTGTTATCTGTCAGTTAAGTCTTTTTGAGAGCTTTTCTAAAGTGAAGACGAATTATGCTTTATTAAACATTTACTAAGCATGAATCATTCTTAATTAAATCTTTGTTCATTATTAATTAAGTCTTTGTTCATGCTTTATTAAGGCTAAGTAAGGTGTAGTTATTATAAAGTGTTACCTAATTTTTTTATCTTTTTTTTTTCTTTTCTTTTCTTCTTCTAGAAAAGGGGAAAAAAGTAAATATATAAATTGAGCGAGGGCCCGGACTCAGGACACTGTTGATGTGAACTGATTTGTGACAAGAAAAGTTAAAAAAATAAATAAAAAATCCTGTTAGTGTGTTTATTGTCGTCTCTTTTAAACAAAAGGCGCAGACGTTCAGAAATAATCATAATAGTCTTGAGCAGCTGAGTGAAAGAGACACTAAAATTCCATGGCTTTCCCAGGCCTGGAAATTACGTTTTCAATTTCTACGTTTCCAGGATTTTCATGACTGTGGGAACCCTGTTTATTTAATCATTTCCACCCTAGAATTACCAATCTCTACGGAATCAAACATAAAAGGAGCTGTTCACATGAAAACTACCACTACGTGACATCTTAAGGTGGAGTGTTTTGAGCTTTGGAGATGTGAACAGACTAAAAATGTCTAAAACAAAAAAGTTAAGTAAAAAAAAAAGTTTAAAAAAAGCGTTGCTCAAATATGTGTGAATGAAACAAAAGACAACTCCAGATATGTTTTTAGGAGGTAATAACATCGTAACATGACTTAAAGCTCACAAGATTCAATTTCACCTAATACAGGAACTTTAAAGATGCACTATGTAACTTTTCTGGTGAAGTGGATATGATGTTGCTATGCCTAGAACATTGCACACTGTGGCATTAAAGTGATCTTGCATTTAATTAAAATAGTTTGGTGGTTTAACCTGCAGCTCAACCAAATGAGATAGATAATTTTCATGTCCAACACTGTGGAAGGTAAAACAATTAACAGCTCCAATGGAAATGCCAAAAAAGTTACGTAGTGCACCTTTAACTCCAACAGTTTCTTCTTATGTACATGTATTGTGCAGAGGGGATCATTTTAAAAGTTTAAAAGTCTTTGAACTACTGAGGATTTTAAGAAAAGACCCAAATCTGAACTTTAAACTAACCCAAGAAGAACAAGCATTTCAAAACAGGTTTGTGACACCAGTGGTTCCACAAACTTTTTTTTCTGGGGACCCATATTTTAAAAGTCACAAATTTTCATGACCCAAGTCAATAGTCATTATTTGTACATCACAAAGTAAATGTGTGACCATTATTGAACATTAATGAGGATATTTTATTGTTAACTGAGTGATCGTGTCTCTCTGAACAATTAGTATTAAAGTATTTTTCGGACTATAAGGCGCAACAAACGGACGACACTCAAGACTTTTTTATTTCCTACGAGGAGAACTCAAATATACATTGAGTAATAATGTGTCTAATGCAGCTTTGCGCACATTTGTTTACGTTTTACAGAAATTAAACTTAACACTACATGGCTAATTTGCATAAACTATAAGCAATAAATCAAACAAACAAACAAACAAACTAAACTAAACTAAAGAATATAACTCAGGGGAAAATGAGTGAAAATCGGTTCGAGGTCAGTAAACACAACCGGAATTAATATATAAGGTGCACCGAATTATAAGACGCACTGTTGATTTTTCAGAAAATGAAGGGATTTTAAGTGCGCCTTATAGTCCGAAAAATACGGTACTCAAGTTTTAAAGGAAAAACAGTAATCAGTGTTTCCCACAGAATTTTTTTTTAGGCAAAGTGGTGCTACCGGGAAAAGTGAAGAGCGGAAGTGCGCGGAGATGTATGTATATGTATACTGCAGACCTACATGCAGATCGTGCCGAGGCGACCCCAAAAAAAATCTCTTACGACCCACCTGAGGGCCGCGACTCAGTCTTTGGGAAACACTGGTCTAAACTACAGCTACAAGATTTCAATATAAAAGAGACCGGAGATTATATTCTTTCCTCTAAATAATTACAGTCTTTGTGATTTGCTGACTGCACTAACAAAGACATTTTGTGCTTCTGTTTCTTCGTCAGCTCGCGAGGCCTTCGTTACCCTGGCGACCACGGACTCCTACAGCAAAGGAGCCGTGGTGGTGGCCAAGAGTTTGCGGCGGCACGGCACGACTCGCAGCATCGTCGTCATGGTAACACCCAACGTCTCCAGCACGGCCAGGTAGCACGTTACTTTGGGTATTTTGAGTTCGTGTCAGTGTAAGAAAAATATCAAATTTGTCTTTTTATTCATGAAAATCTGATTAAAGTTTGTGCAATCTGTCAGAAATGTGCGGAAATGTGCCTGTAAACATTCAAACATTCTGCACCTTTAACGTTCAATCATTGTGTCCAAAATGTCACTGTGGTTTTGTCCTACCAGATCCGCCTTATCGGAGGTGTTTGACGAGGTGATCGTGGTGGACCTTCTGGACAGCGAGGACTTCCTTCGTCTGTCTCTGCTCGGACGCCCTGAGCTCGGAGTCACCTTCACGAAGATCCACTGCTGGACCCTGGTGCAGTTCAGCAAATGTGTGTTTCTCGACGCAGATACTCTGGTAAATACAACAACAACATGTATAAGATTTGGTCATTTAATTACATTTTAAAACCGCCTAGGAGCATTAACAGCTGAGAGGAGACAGAAATCTGAATTATTAAACTAATACAAGAATAATCATGACTAGTTAACTCTTAAAATAATTAAAATTGTGATACTTCTCTGTACTTCTCTGTTGGGTAGGACACTGACCCTGTGCCTTACCCAACAGATAAAGTTTGTCTCATTCTCAGTTTATGTTCAGGCCCTCATGTGAAACCTACTTGGGCCAAGTCTACTTGGGCAAAACCAGGTCTAAAACGGAAAAAAAAGAAGGACAAACAGGCTACTTTAAAGTTAACCCAAGATACCATGACCTCAGAACAGATGCCCGAGCCTCAGCTGCTCCTCTCCACATGGAGGAGAGGCTCTAGTCTGAGCTCCTCACCCTATCTCTAAGGGAGTACCTAGCCACTCTGCGGAGGAAACTTTTTTTAATCCATCCACATCTCCGCTTGATCTCATCCTTTCGGTCATTACTCAAGAGCTCATGACCACAGGTGAGAGCAAGAACGTAGACTGACGGTAAATCAACAGCTTTGCTTTTCGACTAATAAAGAGTGATGAATAAGATTATAAAAGTTATAATATACTATTGTACGTGTCTTAAAATAGTCTATCTAAAACACTAACCCTAAACCTGCACAGTCGTCTAATCCTGCAGCTCGGTGACCCTGACAGGTGTAACCCAGAGACACTGAAGGACGACTCAGATGCTCAGGACATATTTAACTCTGAGGAACGTTCCGATAACAGTTCTTGTGCGAAAAGTAAACGGGGTTAATTCAGTTTTGTCACGTATGAAGTGATGTTCCAGACAGAAGAGGACAGAGCTCGCACTTTGAGCCTGATATCTGCGGCTGTACATACACACGGACACACACACAGGGACACACACACAGGGACACACACAGGGACACACACATGGACACACACACAGGGACACACACATGGACACACACATGGACACACACATGGACACACACAGGGACACACACATGGACACACACAGGGACACACACACAGGGACACACACACACAGGGACACACACATGGACACACACAGGGACAAGGACACATGTTGTTCCTATGGATGTGTTTGGTTTGGGTAAATATCTTGTTTAAAGTCTGAAGTCTAAACTATAGGACACACAGGGACTACGTGGGGTCATGCTATGGCAGGACACATGTGAGGAGAGATCAGGTATGAACTGACACTGCGCAGCTCATGTCACGAAGCTAACTGTGGGCACTGCTCTGTCTCAAGCTCTGTTACTCAACTTACACTTTTATCTGACTTAATTTAACACAATTTGACCAGAAAGAGCTGATTTAATTCTAAACTACAACAGATGAGATGACTTGTGCTCCTAAACAAGTTTCTCACACATAAAATTACAGTTCCAAACCGAAAGTGAGCATGGGGGGGGTGCTTTTGGCTCCATCGACTCTGGCTCGAATTCATGTTATATTGAAAAACCGTCACCCTTCTCTCTGTACCTGCTGCTATCAGGCTCCTCATTTCAGTCTTAAAATGTTCGTATTAACCTGCTCTACACGATCCTGGTGTTTTTATTTTGCTATTATGTCTGTAAATCAAGATATGAACATTAATAACAAATCAGGCACCTTTTTTGCCAAGGAAACTCCCAATAAGTGCTGGCAACAGGTTTGATTAACAGTGTTGCAAAGCGAAACCAGCAGTGCAGGCTTTGTTTACTCTGATACTTGCAGTCAGAATTACTAATACGGAAATACAGTATTTTTTGGACTATAAGTTGCACTTATTTTCATGGTTTGGGTGTTTCCTGCGATTTATCTATTAAAATGTTCACACAGACAGACAGGGGGCGCTCTAGTCTTGTGTGTGAGTATCTGCTGCTCCTGTTCCTCCTGTACCACTGTCACTTGGCTCTACTGCACATGTCTCCTGCAGAAAGAGCCTCTGTCCTGTCTGTGTCATGTCAGTCGATCGCACCGTTACTAAAAATCTAAAATTTAAAGGTTGTATAGAGGATTTTCCAAGGAACGAGAAATCCAGCGACTGTTTGTCCTTTTTCAAATGTTGCGCATGCGTGAAACCACCCCCTCCCCTACAGCTCCCTACGTAGAAACGCCTTCTCCCGCCTCCTCACTACGCCAGAAACAGGTTTGTTTACAGCCGGTGAGCTGCACATGACTTGTAAACAACTAACTACAGTGTTGGTTAGGCAAGGCGGAGAAGTGAGGAGCGGGGGGAGCGGGTGTGCGGACATTTCGTTCGCGGACGAGAAGTGAGGAGCAGGGAGAAGAGCGGAGCAGGGAGAGAGGAGAGAGGAGAGAGGAGAGGGAGCGGTGCGCGGAGATTCCGTGCCCGTAGAAGTGAGGAGAAGGGGGAAGAGCGGAACGGGCAGCGGGGACAGGAGTAGGAAAGGGGAGCAGAGAAGGTTGCGCGGAGATTCAGTGCGAATGAACTAGCTACACAACGCAGCAGCAAGCGGACTCTTTCTTTGCCTTGAAAATTACGTTTTCAGACATAGGATATCGCTTTCGTGTCCTGAAAAACGTTTGACTAGCTCTTGGAAATAAAGTACGTTTTCATAATAAGCAGAAGTTACCTGTCCAGGAGTAATTTGGCGACCAATGCGTCAGTCTTTAGACCCTGCGTCTGCTTCAGTCGCGCCATCGCTGGAATGAATCTCTACAAGAATCACCTTAGTTTGGCTTCGCTGCTTTTCCCCTTGTCTTCTTCTTTCAGCGACCTCAAAAACGGACTTTCTTTTGCGGCTAACTGCTCCTGGATTCTTGTCTGCCATTGCAACAAACTTTGTGCTAACTGCGAGGAAGATATAGGTCAAAAAAAGCCGCTAAGAACTGTTGCATTGGTGGAGTAAACAGCGTCTGTGCGTCTTGCGTCTGTGGACTGCGTGACAGGCGTACGTAAACCACGTACCGGCGGCGCGCAGGCAGGTCAGTTACGCTAGAAACGTAGGGAGTTTGATTGATAGCCTGTCAGCTAACAGATAACGAGGCCGTGTCGTTATCTATTGGCAAATGTTTAGCTGGCCCCACCACGTCCAGAGTTGATGAATTTTTATTCTCTTTTTTTTGGTCATCATAATTACAAGGCTACTGCACCTCTATAATGCTATCATTGACAACTTGAAACAAAAAAAACAAAAAAAAAAATCCTCCATACAACCTTTAAACAAACTTATAAAGACAAAGACTGAGAAGACTGAACACAAACGCCCCCGAAACGAAAATCAGATTCTGCAGATCACAAACTGCAAGTCGTGAAATCTGCAGCTGAAAACGATAATCGAGCAGCAGAAAGAAAGTTTGGGGTGAGAGAGAAACTTGTGACACCGGGAGGATGAACCATGAAACTTTCCTGAAGTCACTGGATGGATGGACAAAGTCTGGACTTCAGTGACACCGAAACCATCCTGTCGGGATTCAGAAAGACCCGAATAATTCAGTAAATATAACCAGGTCTAGCTCCCGTCTAAACAAGGTCTGAACCAGGTCTAAACCAGGACTAAACCAGGTCTGAACTGGAAGCTGTTCTAAACCAAGTCTAGGTCTAACTGAGGTCTAAACTGGTCTAACCATAATCAGAATCAGGACCCGGATTAAACCAAGTCAAAGCCAGATCTAAACTAGGACTAACCAAGATCTAATCCAGGTCTAAAGCAGGTCTAAAGCAGGTCTAAACCAGGTCCAACCCGAGGTCTAAACCAGGTCTAACCCAAGGTCCTTCAGTGACACCGAAACCATCCTGTCGGGATTCAGAAAGACCAGAATAATTCTAACTGGAACTGATGCTGAGTCTCTGTTTACCTCCGGAGGTCGTGGAGTTGTTCAGAAGTGACACCGAGGATGAAGAATTGAATGGATTTAGTGATTTGGAGTGAGATGGAGAGTTTGTTAAACTTGTTCTGTTCTGTTGTTTATGTTATAGTTTATCTGAAGAACTGTTCATATGTGACGTTAACAGTCTGTTGTTCTCTCTTCTGTTGTTTTTACCATATTTTCCCCACTATAGGTCGCGCTCTTTAGCCTCTATCACCATCAAAAAAATGACCGTGCGCCCCGCAATCCAGAGCACCCTATACACGAATCCACTCGGGTGTCCCAGCACGACTTCAGTAAACTACAAAGCCGTACGCAAACACACACCCGCAGCCACACTCATCACTCCACGCCGACGAGGAACGGAACGGAGGAACGAACCGAAAAAGCGAGTCCAATGTGCCACTTCTAGACACGACTGAACAACTGCGAACACGCCGACGATCCGTTGGTCCCAGACAGCCCCCTCCCTACACGCCGCAACTGAACAAAGCCCAGAGTCATCGTGAACGAACAAACAAAACCACTCACCCATCACACTGTTGGGTTTTGTTTAATTAGTCGTGGTTTATTGGTGAAAAAGGATCGAAAATAGACCATTAATGACAGTGCGCCTTATAATCCAGAGCGCCTAATAGTGCGGAAAATACGGTACTAGAACTTGAGTTTTAAGGTGAAATGTCAGTTCCTGGTTTCTGATTTTTTTCTTCTTCATTACGCATTTTTTAGCTGGTGCGACTCAGAAAAAAAAAACAGTACTAGTCTTGGTGATCTTGATTTGACGCTGCGGGTGACGTCGCTCTCACTCAGTCCACGTCTTTACACCGTCTCTGACCTCCGCCCTCCGCAGGTGCTGAGTAACGTGGACGACCTGTTCGACCGCGAGGAGCTCTCCGCCGCCCCGGACCCCGGCTGGCCCGACTGCTTCAACTCCGGAGTGTTTGTGTTCAGGCCGTCGCTGCAGACCCACGCGCGGCTGGTGCAGCACGCCAACCAGCACGGCAGCTTCGACGGTACGCCTGATGCCCTCCCACAAACCTGTATCCCTCTATTATTTATCACTCTCCCTCCTCTGTACCTTTTTTTTTTTTAAATCTAATACTCTTTTTTTATTTCCTAGGAGGAGACCAGGGTTTGTTGAATTCGTTTTTCAGTTCTTGGGCGACAGAAGATTTGTACAAACACCTCCCGTTCGTGTACAACCTGAGCGCGAGCACGGTCTACAGTTACCTCCCAGCCTTTAAACAGTTAAGAGCAAATATTTACTAACTAAATACGGTCAAACAAAAAGTCTAAAGCCAATATTTGGGGAAGAATATGCGGGCAAGAGTCCAGGACGACTGCATAGCTCAACATGTGAGCAGAAGAGAAGCAGACGATAGACTAAATCAGAACTAAATCAGGACTAAATCAGGACTAAACCAGGACTAAATCAGAACTAAACCAGGACTGAACCAGGACTAAACCAGGACTAAACAGATGGTAGTTCACCTCTAGTTGTTTGGTTGAAGATCATCAATCATAATGCTAAAATCTGGACTAGAATAAACTGACTAAACCAGGACTAAACTGGGACTAAACCAGAACTAAACCAGGACTAAACTCCAGGACTAAAGCGGGACTAATGCGGGACTAAAGCAGGACTAAACAAGGACTAAACCAAGACTAAACACGAGGACTAAAGCAGGACTAAACCAAGACTAAACTAAGACTAAACCAGGACTAAAGCAGGACTAAAGCAGGACTAAAGTAGGACTAAACTAGGACTAAACCAGGACTAAAACAGGACTAAACCAGAACTAAACCAGGACTGAACCAGGATTAAACCAGGACTAAACCAGGACTAAACACCAGGACTAAACACCAGGACTAAAGCAAGACTAAACTAGGACTAAAGCAGGACTAAACCAAGACTAAACACCAGGACTAAACTAGGACTAAACTAGGACTAAACCAGGACTAAAACAGGACTAAACCAGAACTAAACCAGGACTGAACCAGGATTAAACCAGGACTAAACCAGGACTAAACACCAGGACTAAACACCAGGACTAAAGCAGGACTAAACCAAGACTAAACACCAGGACTAAAGCAAGACTAAACTAAGACTAAACCAGGACTAAAGCAGGACTAAAGTAGGACTAAACTAGGACTAAACCAGGACTAAAACAGGACTAAACCAGAACTAAACCAGGACTGAACCAGGATTAAACCAGGACTAAACCAGGACTAAACACCAGGACTAAACACCAGGACTAAAGCAAGACTAAACTAGGACTAAACCAGGACTAAACCAAGACTAAACACCAGGACTAAAGCAGGACTAAAACCAAGACTAAACTAAGGACTAAACCAGGACTAAAGCAGGACTAAAGTAGGATTAAACTAGGACTAAACCAGGACTAAAAACAGGACTAAACCAGAACTAAACCAGGACTGAACCAGGATTAAACCAGGACTAAACACCAGGACTAAAGCAGGACTAAACAAGGACTAAAACCAGGACTAAAGCAGGACTAAACCAGGACTAAACCAGGACTAAAGCAGGACTAAAGCAGGATGGTAGCTCACCTCTTGTTTTGTTGTTTCGTTGAAGATTCATAATGCTAAAATCTAGACCAGAACTAAACTAAGACTCAAGCGGGACTAAACCAGGACTAAAACACCAGGTCTAAACCGTACCTGACTCACCTTTTCTCTGTTTTGCCGCAGATTCGGTCACAAAGCTAAAATCGTTCACTTCCTGGGCTCGACTAAACCGTGGAACAGCAGCGCGGGCTCCAGCTCTCAGACGATGGGACGATACGTGGACATGTGGTGGACAGAGTATCACAGTCACACCTCCTCCTCCTCCTCCTCTTCCTCCTCCGCATCATCCTCCTCTTCTTCTTCTTACTCTGCACCCTCCACTTCCTCTGCTCAGGAGAAACCCGACATCCCCTTCGTGTCCTACGCCAAGAAAACTGCGAGAAAGACCAAAGAGGAGAAGAAAACGGTCAAACAGGTTCAGTAGAAGAGACACAACCGTTAGGAGCATTTCGTTTGCATATTTTACCTTAATCTGGTTAAATAATATACAAAAATCTCACTATACAATTTAAACAATTATTGGACAAGTCGACTGATCAAAAAATAATGGGTGACTGCAGCAGATTTAAACAAGAACTAAACCAGGACTGAAAAGGACTAAACCAGGACTAAAAAGGACTAAACCAAGACTAAAAATGACAAAAAAAACCCTAAACAAGGACTAAAAAGGACTAAACCAGGACTAAAAAGGACTAAACCAAGACTAAAAAGGACTAAACCAAGACTAAAAAAGACTAAGCCAAGACTAAAAAGGACTAAACCAAGACTAAAAAAGACTAAACCAGGACTAAAAAAGACTAAACCAGGACTAAAAAAGACTAAACCAGGACTAAAAAGAACTAAAAAGGACTAAACCAGGATTAAAAAGAACTAAATCAGGACTAAAAAGGACTAAACAAGGACTAAGCCAGGGCTAAACCAGGACTAAAAAGGACTAAACCAAGACTAAAAAGGATTAAAAAGGATTAACCAAGACTAAAAAAGACTAAATCAGGACTAAAAAGAACTAAAAAGGACTAAACCAGGATTAAAAAGAACTAAATCAGGACTAAAAAGGACTAAACAAGGACTAAGCCAGGGCTAAACCAGAACTAAAAAGGACTAAAAATGACTAAACCAAGACTAAAAAGGACCAAACAAGGACCAAAAAGGACCGAACCAGAACTAAAAAGGACTAAACCAGAACTAAAAAGGACTAAACTAGGATTAAAAAGGACTAAACCAGGACTAAAAGGACAAAAACAGAACTAAACAGGACTAAAGCAGAACTAAAAAGGACTAAACCAGAACTAAACCAGGATAAGGAGGACTAAACCAGGACTAAAAATTACTAAACTAGAACTAAAAAGGACTAAACAGGACTAAAAGGACTAAAACAGGACTAAACAGGACTAAACCAGGACTAAACCAGTACTAAACTAGGACTAAACCAGGACTAAAAAGCACTAAATCAGGACCAAACCAGTTGCAAACGACCTTAAAAACATCACAGCTTCAAAGAAAATTACTGAACGATGGTTAAACATTCAAATCGATGTTTCCTTTTCAATTTCTTGTCAAGGTTCAGGTTCAGGTGAAAGAAATTTCCACGACCGTCCGAGAAATCCAGCAGCGTCCGGCCTCACTGCAGCCACCTTTGCCCACGGTGAGAGACACAAAGGTTTATGTAATTAAGATTTAACGTTTTATTCATATTAAACTGTGAATTTTATCAAACTTTAATGGAGATTCAGTTATTTGTAATCATCTTGGAGAGGATTAAGTAAGTGTTTCTGCGCAGGCTGTCACTATAATTACAGTATTGTCTCACCGTTCAATACCTGAAAGCTGGAAACGTATATTTTGGGTTCAATATTTATCGAGTGTACAATTTCTTCACAACAGTGGGGACGTTTTATCCACTTTTCTGTAATATGAGAAGAACAGATACCAGTAATTACCCATTAGAAGTTTCCTTGTGTGATGTTTTTTCTGCAGCTCAGACCTTTTAATGATACAGTAAATAAAAAAAAAAAGATTATTCTGCTTTATTTCAGTGTGAAAAAGTAGTTTCTATATTCATCACACAGAATATAGAGTGTATATATTCAGTATATCTATATTCTTTATCACAATATTTCTCTGTAGTGTGACGGGTCTAGACTTTGGCGGAAGAAATGTGACTATTTTTTGGCTAAACCAGGACTAAAAAGGACTAAAGCAGGACTAAAAAGGATTAAACCAGGACTAAACCAGGATTAAAAAGGACTGAAAAAGGACTAAACCAGAACTAAACCAGGAATACAAATGACAAAATCAGGACTAAAAAGGACTAAACCAGGACTAAAAAGGATTAAACCAGGACTAAAAAGGACTAAACCAGGACTAAAAAGGACTAAACCAGGACTAAAAAGGATTAAACCAGGACTAAATCAGGGCTAAAAAGGACTAAACCAGGACTAAACTAGGATAAAAAATAACTAAACCAGGACTAAAAAGGACTAAACCAGGACTAAAAAGGACTAAACCAGGACTAAAAAGGACTAAACCAGGACTAAAAAGGATTAAACCAGGACTAAATCAGGGCTAAAAAGGACTAAACCAGGACTAAACTAGGATAGAAAATAACTAAACCAGGACTGAAAAGGACTAAACCAGGACTGAAAAGGACTAAACCAGGACTAAACCAGGACTAAAGCAGGACTAAAGCAGGACTAAAGCAGGACTAAAGCAGGACTAAACCAGGATTAAAAAGGACTGAAAAAGGACTAAACCAGAACTAAACCAGGACTACAAATGACTAAATCAGGACTAAAAATGACTAAACCAGGACTAAAAAGGATTAAACCAGGACTAAATCAGGGCTAAAAAGGACTAAACCAGGACTAAACTAGGATTAAAAATAACTAAACCAGGACTAAAAACGACTAAACCAGGACTGAAAAGGACTAAACCAGGACTAAACCAGGACTAAAAAGGACTAAAGCAGGACTAAACCAGGATTAAAAAGGACTGAAAAAGGACTAAACCAGAACTAAACCAGGACTACAAATGACTAAATCAGGACTAAAAAGGACTAAACCAGGACTAAAAAGGATTAAACCAGGACTAACAAGGACTAAAACAGGACTAAAATGGACTAAACCAGGATTTAAAAAGGACTAAACCAGGACTATAGAGTGTGTATATTCAGTATATATACCTTTTATTTCTCTGTAATGTGACAGGTCTAGACTTTGGCCGAAGAAACGTGACTAGTTTTTGTCTTAAAGCGGAGAAATCTCGTGGTGATGTTATTGTTTTGCCTGGAATGTTTCATAGTACGGCTTTAAACGTTTCTATCTTCATGGAGACCAAACCAGACCAAGTTACAGCTCAGAATGTCTGTTTATCTTGGTATTTTTGTAATTGAATAAATGTAAAGTAGAGCTGTTTAAAGTCACACTGTGGAACATATCGAGCAGAGCACTGACATCTCCATAGAAACAACCGAAAAGCTACATAGTGCACCTTCAAATGGACATTATTAAAAGTCTGTCGTCCCATCTTCAGCAGAGGAAATTAATCTTGAAAGCCATTTTACTTTTTTAAATAAGAAGACAAAATGAACAGAAAATTATGTGTCGATCAATATGACAGATTATTATTTTTCTTCTTCTCATCAACTTGTTCAAATTACATTTCATAAACCCATTTTGAAGCGATCATGTTTGAGAGAAGAATGAAATCTGACCTTTAAACTAATCCAAGAATGTTTGTAGAGCTCGAAACTAGTGTCGTAGTACTCAAGACAGGCCTCGAGACGTCTCAGACTCGACTGCATTCGGACTCGGTCTTGTCTCGGTCTTGAACTTGCTTGGACTCGGTCTTGTCTCGGTCTTGAAGGTGTTTGGACTCGGTCTTGTCTCAGTCTTGAAGGTGTTTGGACTCGGTCTTGAACTTGCTTGGACTCGGTCTCGTCTCAGTCTTGAAGGTGTTTGGACTCGGTCTCGTCTCAGTCTTGAAGGTGTTTGGACTCGGTCTCGTCTCAGTCTTGAAGGTGTTTGGACTCGGTCTCGTCTCAGTCTTGAAGGTGTTTGGACTCGGTCTCGTCTCGGTCTTGAAGGTGTTTGATCTTGGTCTTGGTCTTGTTTTGGTCTCGACTTTTAAAAGTCTTGGTCTTGTCTTGGTCTCAACTTTCAAATGTCTCGGTCTTGTCTCGGTCTCGACTTTTACATGTCTCAGTCTCGACTTTTAAAAGTCTTGGTCTTGCCTCGGTCTCGACCTTCAAAGTCTTGGTCTAGATTTTTAAAAGTCTTGGTCTTGTCTTGGTCTACATTTTTAAAAGTCTTGGTCTTGTCTCAGTCTCGACTTTTAAAAGTCTTGGTCTTGTCTCGGTATCGACTTTTAAAAGTCTTGGTCTTGTCTTGGTCTACATTTTAAAAAGTCTTGGTCTTGTCTCGGTATCGACTTTTAAAAGTCTTGGTCTTATCTCGGTCTCCACTTTTAAAAGTCTTGGTCTTGTCTTGGTCTCAGCTTTTAAAAGTCTCGGTCTTGTCTTGGTCTCGGTCTCGACCTCGACCTTCAAAATTCTTGCTCTTGTCTCACTCTAGATTTTTAAAAGTCTTGGTCTTGTCTCGGTTTCAACTTTTGAAAGTCTCAGTCTTGTCTCGGTCTCGACTTTTAAAAGTCTTGGTCTTTTCTCGGTCTCAACCTTCAAAGTCTTGGTCTTGTCTCGGTCTCGAATTTCAAAAGTCTTGGTCTTGTCTCGGTCTCGAATTTCAAAAGTCTTGGTCTTGTCTCGGTTTCAACTTTTAAAAGTCTCAGTCCTGTCTTGAAACTCAGAGGTCTCGGGCTTGTCTTGGTCTTGGGATCCTGTGGTCTCGGACTGGTCTTGGTCTGGATTATCGCGTTCTTGACCACAACACCGCTCTCAACTCCCGGGTTTTCCTCAGAACACGACCCCGTGGAGACCGGGACATTTGTAGTTCTCAAGGGGGACATTATATTAGCTAAGTCATTGCTAATTATGACCACTCATGCTAACACCGGCTCTGCTTTTCAAATCTTCGAGACGCCCATTCATGCCAAGTCATGCAACCGATCCATCAATTAGCTTAATTACAGGCTACATAACGAGCGGCGTTTTGTGTCTAAGTGTTACACTGGTGATTGTGAGCGACGTGGAGAGGGGCGGTTTGATTCCGAGTGTTCAGAGCTGAGTGCATGTTGGAGAATTACGCGTCTCTTATCGGGTCATTTGTTAATTAATTTGGGCGCCGCGTTGTGAGTGAATGGGAGGCAGACAAAGGACGTATCTAAAGCTGAGGATAATTTGGTTTTGTGTGAGAATGAAAAGGCGTGATGGGACAACAGAGGAGCCTCGCCGGTCTAATGGGACACGGCTATTACAATGGAGATTAGACAATGCAGAGTGGTGTTTAAATTAAGCACAAGATCAAACGCAAAAATGAAGATTCAAGCTGTAAAAAGGCTTAAGAAAAGTTAAAAGCTAAAATTAAAGATGAAACTTTGCTGTCGGAGAGTCCACCACCTGCTTGTCTGCATGGAGATGTGGTTGCTTTGTCTGGAATGTTTCACAGTATGGCATTAAACAGCGGTGGAAGAAGTACATTTTGTTACTTAAGGAGAAGCTGACTGGCGCCGCCTAGTGTCTCCGCTCAATTTAATTTCTTTCCAGCGACTAGGTCAGGAATCGGGAATACACTAGAGCAGTGGTGGGCAAACTTTTTGACTCATGGGACACAAAAGGTTCTAAAATTTGATGAAAGGGCCGGACCAGGAGCAGATGTGGATGGAGTTTTTTGGTAATGCACCTCATAAGAGAAAAAATAACATGGGATATATAGAAAACTTGTGCTTGAAAATCAATTGAAAACCATTACAAAGCATTACGATCTTTACTACTATAATTTATTCAAGTTCGGATGGCCGGATTAAAAAGGTTAAAGGGCCGCATTTGGCCTCGGGCCGTAGTTTGCCCACCCCTGCACTAGAACGTTTGCAAGAAGTTGTAGACCGTGCATTGGCCAATCAGAGAAGAGCTGTGAAGCCATGACATTAAACTCGTTGCGTCTGTCTGGGTCCCTTTTGTGGAACAGCACAACAGTAAACAAAGCGTCAAGATGGATGTAGACGAAGACAGACATTCTGTGTTTGGTGAATTTTATCAAGGAGAAAGACGTTACTGTCCTTCTTCCTACGGGATTTGGTGCATTACATATGTCACGACTAAACAGCAGCGATTGGTTAAATTATAAAAAGTACTCGCCTACTGTAGAGCGAACCAATCCTAATGCTGCGAGGTCAGACGGTTTCCACGAAGTGAAACCGACTGTTGAATCAGGCTCGAAGTATGGACACGGGAGCTAAAAATACTGAAGTAAAAGTATCACATGGAAAAAAATCTACTCAAGTCAAAGCATTAAAGTATCTGTTTAAAAATTTACTTAAAGAGTATAAAGTACAACTATTTCATGCAGAGTATAAGATCTAATAAAGCTTCAAATTTTCCATATATTGTACATTTATTTACATGCTTGGGAATGAGAAACACAATTTAGATTCTTCATGTGTTTTGTATAAAGAATTGACAGTAAACTTTTTGGAATTTGAATTGAAATGTAGTGATTTTAATGAAGATTTGAGCTGGATTTTGTTCAACGGAAAAAACTGAATCAATAGTTTTTTGTCTAGCTGTTTTTATTTGTATATTTTTGTTTGCTCAAAGTATGAACGTGTTAAAAAAATAAACCTCAGTCTCTCCTGCAGGTCTCAAACTATAATAAAAATACTTTTACTTTTCAGTCCTGTTCAGAAATGTAGTGGAGTAGAAAGATATAGATACTTTCTCTCTAATGTAGTGAAGGTAAAAGTAAAAAGAATCCACTTAAAAATCTACGCAAGTAAAGTACAAATACCTATAATTTATACTTTTTTTTGTTACATTATTACACCACTAACATTAAAGCAATTTATGCCAACCTTGTAGATTAGATCTCTACAAAAATGTTCTGAAATGCCTGAGATTCTTGGATTAGTTTAAAAGATTTCTGTCAAATGTAAATGCTTCTGAATGTGTTTAAATATGAACTATGAACTCTGTCTGTATTTTAAACCCACATTTCAAATCTAATCTCAAACCACCCTGATCGTAGACACCACAGGTTGAAGTCGTACCTCCGGAGAAGAAAGTGGAGGAGGTAGAGAAGGTGGAGGACAAGAAGGTGGACTCAGGTAAACTCAGTGAAGAAGACAGTGAAGAAAAACAACAGGAAGCAGTGGAGGATGAAGAAAGCGTCGCGGATCTGGCAGAGCGAGAAGAGACGGATGAAGAGGAGGAGGAGGAGGAGATGGGCACCAGCAGCGATGGAGAAGAGGACGGCACCCACCCTGTAAGAAAAAAAATATATACGACAAGTTTTAATACAGAGCAGGATGGAAGGGCATCTTTCGAGATATTCATGAGGTTCAGTTTGGACTTTTTTTCATTCAAAGGAGAGGTTTTATTTTAAACTAGAAAAGCACTCAGAGAGCGCAGACCTCCGCCAAGGACTACCCCCATTTTTTATATAAATTGCAATAAAATCAGTCTTCTGGATCAGATCCGGATCAGCCTTTGGAATATGAAAGAGGATCCCATTGTCCATCCCTGAGTCAAATTTCATGGGGTTTGGTCAATAATTAACCGAGATATTGAGAAACAAAATTTTTGGCCCCATTTACCACAATGTTAAAGTGATCCAGAATCCAGGATTTCTTCTGGATCACCCCCAAAATGAAATCAGTTCCTCCTTTTCACATTTCCAACAAATCCTGAAAATTTCATCAAAATCGGTCCATAACTTTTTGAGTTATGTTGCTAACAGACAAACAAACAAACAAACAAACAAACAGACAAACAAACAGACAAACGCTGGCAAAAACATAACCTCCTTGGCGGAGGTAATTATTAATCACTATGACAAAGGTCCATGGATAGGAGCGTGGGACAAAATATCAAAACATTTCCATGACTTTTTCATGACCTAAAGTGAATTTTCCCTGACTTTACGGCACCTACATGTGTGGAATTGATCAAACTTTTAGGGCTAAATATGACATGTGAACTCTTTCCACTCACTTTATGGTTTGGGATTATAGTTTTTTAACATTCAAAATCCTGTCCATTTATTGTCGTCTCTTTTAAACAAAAGGCGCAGATGTTCAGAAATAATCAGAATAGACTAATGAGAACTTAACAGAACGCTGTAATTGCGTGAAAGAGACACTAAAATTCCATGGCTTTTCCAAAACTTTCATTGAATTTACAAAATTCCATGACTTTTCCAGGCCTTGAAAAGGACAGTTTCGGTTTCCATGACTTTTCCAGGATTTCCATGACCATAGTAACCCTGGATACAGATGGATGAGAGGGGCATCTGACACAGGGCTATAGGAGGATAGCAGAGCATCTTATACACAGGGTTATAGGAGTAGGATGGGAGGGCATCTGACATTACAGGGATACAATAGGAGGCTGGGAGGGCATCTGACTTACTGTTTCTCCCCTTCAGAGCGCTGCAGACTCGGAGGACGAGGAGGAGCATCGCAGACAGTGGGAGATCGGACAGGCCGATTACTTGGGACGAGACGCGTTTGAGCACATTCAGAAGATGCTCGACCGCTTCCTGGGCTAAACCTGCGTCAACAACAACAATTTAGGACTGTTAATAACGTTTGCTTTAAAGCTCCACTGTGTAACTTTTCTTTCGCCTGCTTGTCTTCATTTGGGAAGTAAAAACTAGTCCATTTAAACCGTTTGCAGTGGTCCAAAGTTATTCCTCACTTACTTAATGCATTCTAAGTGCTTTTCACAACTTTCAATGCAGAGTTTTGCCATCACAGTAATGCAAATAACAATTACCATGCTAACAGAGCACTTCCTGATACTAACATTTGAGTCAGACAGATACTAACAGACTTATTTTGATTTCAAGATCTGCTTTTACAATACATCTGTACTCGGGCAAGGCATGTTTAGCTCAAATACATAAGGAAAAATCAAGTACAAGGCCTTTAAACTAAGGTGACTCTACCAGACCAAGTTACAGGTCAGATCTGTGGAGAGGCAACCCCAATCTCTGCTTTCGAGGTGTTTTTGAGCAATAAAAACACCTGTAACTGAACTCATGCACATTAGATAAGTAAAATGTCATACTGTGGAACATTTTGTCAAACATTTCCATGAAGATAAGCAGTTGTTGGACCCTGCCTCCACCTGAAAAGTTACACAGTGCAGCTTTACAATGTGAATAAAAAGCGAGAATTCTTATGTTCTTAAGTCTTGGCAATGATTCAAATAATTAAAATGACATACCAAATCAAATCTTGTGCTTGGTTCTGATGTTTTAGTTGAGTTTTTCAGTTTACTGTCCAGGAAATATAGTTTTGGCAAAGAATTTAAACCTAAAGTTATAAAATGACAGCTCTGTGCTAACGTTAGCCAAACAGTAAAGAAAACATGTCCTCAGATTTTCACATTTCAAATTGCGTTAATATTGCTAAAATACTACACTTGATTTTAAAAAAGGGTATAAAACAAAGGGAAATAAATGGTAAAAAAAAAAAAAAAAAAAGTCCGTGATAAAGCGAAAAGTTATTGCTAAGTGACGAGTGATGGACGCATGCGCAGTTGAGCATAACCGGCTAAAACCAATTTGTTAATTACAATATTTTACATTTGTTGTACATAAAATTAAGAATTGGCATTTATACTTTTAATTCAATTTCATATACGGTTAAAATGTGTAAGATAAATATAAATATAAAATAAAATATTGTGATGAATTACTTTATGACAGCTTCAACCGTTCTGTGCCAGCGTTGGCCAAATATGTAACAAAACGTCTTTTTTTTATTTATTTTTTTAACCTTAATCAAATCTCTTTACCTTAATCAATACGAAACTTGATTTTTAAAAACGTGTATAAAACAAAGAAAAAAAGGTAATAATAAAAAAAAAAAATAAAAGTCTGAAAAGTTGTTGCTAAGTGACGACTCATTGACGCATGCGCAGTTGTGAATAACCGCTGACAACAATATTTATACTTTACGATTTATTTGGTTACTTTTTTAAAAACATATTTATACTTTTAACTCAATTGCATACGGTTAAAATGTGTAAAATAAATACTAACAAATAATTGAAAATAATATAAAATTTGTGCCAGTGTTATGCTAACATTCGACAAAACGAAAAAAGATGGTTAATTTTAAAAGTACTTTATTTTAACATGAATAAAAATGTGTCAGCTTACTTACTTGTAATTCATTTTGTATTAATACAGATTTACGAGGAGACGTCCTACCAGTTTTGTCCAACAGGGGGCACTGTTGAACTTTGCTGAACAGGAGGACCACTTCAGATTTTCAAGTACCAACATCAGAGCAAGTTTGGAATCAGAAATGACCTTGGTTTGATGAATAGAGCGATAAATAAACATAATTCATTTTCTTGCGCGTACAGTAGTTACTTAGTTCAACCTTGCAAATGAATAAATTTATATGTACAGAGAATAAATATATTTAAATAAAGGAATAAGTGTAGCCTATACGTTGATTATAAATTCCATAAACATGATATAACTGTTCCTCTAAATACGACGTAATCATGTTCAAATCAAATATTGCCCTTTAAAAATCACATTTTCTCTGGAACTTTTTGTGACTTTCTTGTCAGCTGAACTAAACATCAGTATTGCAGCTATACTCCGAGCCCGGGGTCAAACGTGTTCGACATTTGCATAATTGATTATATTGTGTTTATTTGCAATTAAAAACAACAGCCGAGGCTTTATCAGCGCGGGCAGATGGGACGGAGCACGGCGTTAGCGTTAGAGTCACTTATAATGTTACAGTCAAAGTCATTAGCAAGAAATATCGATGACATTTAAGACTGGACGCGTGAAATTATGACATTCATTTCAAACGAATAAATTACAATATATAAAAAGTGGAAGTAGTAGTTGTAGAAGTAACAGTAGCAGAATAGTAGTAGTAATAGTAGTAGTAGTAGTAGTAGTAGTAGTAGAAGAGATAGGAGTAGTAGTAGTAGTAGCAATAGTTGCTGTAGTAGTAGTATTAGTTGCAGTAGTACTAGTAGTTGTAGTAGTAGTACTTCTAGTAGTAGTAGCAGCCGTAGCAGTAGCAATAGTAGTAGTAGTAGTAATAGTAGTAGCAGTACTAGCAGTAGTAGCAGTAGCAGCAGTAGTAGTAGTAGTAGTAGTAGTAGCAGCAGCAACAGCAGCAGTAGTAGCAGTAGTAGTAGTATTAGTAGTAATAACAGTAACACTAAGTAAGTAATAGTAGAAGTAGTAGTAGCAGCACTAGTAGCAGCAGTAGTAACAGTAGCTAGTAGTAGTAGTAGTAGTAACAGTAGTAGTAACAGCAGAATTAGCAGTATTAGTAACAGTAGTAATAGCAGTAGTAGCAGCAGTAGTAACAGTACAGTAGGAGTAGTAGTAACAGTAGTAGTATAAGTAGTAGTTTTAGTAGTAGTAATAGTAATAGAAGTAGTAGTAGTAGTAGCAGCAACAGTAGTAGTAACAGTAATAATAGTAGTAGCAGTAAAAGTAGCAGTAGTAGTACTAGTAGCAGTAGTAGCAATACGAGTAGTAGTAGTAGTAGTAGCAGTAACAGTAGTAGTAAGTAGTAGTAGCAGTAGTAGTAACAGTAGTAGTAGCAGTAGTAGTAACAGTAGTAGTAGCAGTAGTAGTAACAGTAGTAGTAGCAGTAGTAGTAACAGTAGTAGTAACAGTAGCAGTAGTAGTAACAGGACTAAATCACACACAGTTGGTCGGGCGTTTCTCCACTGATCTGAAGGTTGTCGGTTCAAATCCCGCTCTCGACATAAACATTATTGATTGAGCGATCGAATCCACTGATCCACAGGTTGACGGCGCGATTCCAGCTCCCACAGATAAATACTACTACTGTGTCCTTGGGCAAGACACTTCACCCACCTCTCCCCCAGTCGATTCCTTGATGTAAAAACTCTAAATATATGACCATTTTGCCATTCGTATACTTCTACTGAGTACTATTACTTGTACTTTAGTGATATATTTCGTGACACAGCTACTCCCTAATGTTCTTTGGTATTTTCTGTGTAATCTTTCGCAGTAATGACACACAGATATTGAAGAGTTTGAACCACAGTGACTAATGCTTCAATGGAAAAGAAAGAGATTCTGAGGAAACTTGCAGGTCAAATAACTCTGTGTCCAGTGATAAAAGCCGCTGCTGATTCAGAAGGATAAACTCTGATTAGACGTAATGCTTTAAACGAACGCAGGCCGTATTTACTCTCATTTCAAAGACGAGTTACAGTGAGTACTTGTAAATATCCTAAAGCGTAGTATTATTTCGCTGTACTGATCAGAGGAGAAAGAAGTTGGACAGGTGCGCTCAATATGTGCTCCTATCTCCGCTAAAATAAACTCACGTCATTGTCCAAAAACATTCGCAGGACATTTTAAAAGTAATCACGGCATCAACAAACACACCCACTTCTTCTTCTTCTTTTTGCACAGAAATTTGAACAAAATAGATGTAATTTCCTGTAATTTGCCGAGCTCTAGTGTCCTTACGCAACAACATCTCAACACTTCACAGTTTATTCGTCAGTGCAGAAACTCACGAGGATCATCTGCTCCTGCTGACGCGGTACGGCCCGAGTACAGAGACTGCGTATGTATAAAAAAACTGGACTGAAGTGAAATGAAGCTCACTGAGGCTAGCGGTTAAAAGGGAGCGAATTTGGAATCAATCTGAGAGAGGATTAATTACGAACAAAACCAAAATAAGGAGCAGTTGCGGAGAGAGGGGAGACATATTTTCAATACAAAGTGAATTGGAGCCAGAGTCGATGGAGCTGGAAGCGCGCCCATGCTCACTTCCTGTTTAGAATATGGCAGTGTGTTAGCAATGTCCATTTATATATATATGTACAGTCAATTAGGGCTGGGTATCAATGAGGAGTTGTCAATACGATACGATACATATCTCGATACAGTGAGCTTTCAATTCGATATGACATTGTTTACCAAAGACTGGGCCGTAAGACATTTTTTTGGGGGTCGGTTTGTCACGATCTGCATGTAGTTCTGTAATATACAGTTGAGACACATGTTAAGACATGTTTTGTATCATTTCTAATATTTTTGTAATTATTTTATTGACTATTTTGTTCCAATGTTGCTGGTTCAATTGAAGGTTGAAAAGATAAAGAAATGTTCAAATCGATTTCATACGGTTCAATAAAAAATAAAGACTAAAGAAAGATGTGTCTTTGTTAAGCCACTTCTTGTGCAAAGTTCATATGAAACGCAAACATTTTAATCATCAAAACAATGAAAATGTCAAATGTGTCATTTAAACGAGTTTCCTTCCTCTAAACAAACAAAACAAAATAATTTAGTAAAATATCCCAAAAAATACTCTTGATGATATATCTTGCAGGAAGAAGGACAATAACGTCTTTCCCCTTGATTAAATTCACCAAATATTCTCTTTGTTCCAACTTTAAATCCTCGATCTCGGGAATCATTGCCAACACAGAATGTACGGCTCTTCGCTGATTGGCTGGTGCCTGGACTCGCACTTCCGGGGTTTTTGCAAACCGTCTGTATTCCGATTCCTGACCCCTTGCCCCCCCCTTTCTGTAACTGCTGCTGTCGTCTGCATTTTGGTCTTAAAATGTTCATATCAACCCGCTCTACATAATCCTGGTGTTTTTATTTCGCTATTTTCTCCACAAATAAATTCCTTTTCCTATAACTCAGCTCCAGATTCACTCGTA